AGGGGTCTCAAGAAAAAAATAAACTTAAGAAGGCAAAACACAAAGAAAAAAGTGGAGAGGGAAGTGTGAATTTAATTTTACATAAATATATATAAAAAACTATATTCCATGATATAATATAATATATAATAAAGATATTATTGATGCACATTTCCAACTATTGAAATAAACTTTGGGCTTCAAAATAAAGATTAAAATAACCTTGGCACAAGGATTAAAATTAAAAAAAAAAATGCCAACTTCCAAGGTTCGATGCTGATATGATTAACAGCAAAAATGGAATAGTTTTAGTGTAAAAAAACTTAAAACAAGGGGTGGAAAGGGATCAGCTATCTCCCCCCACCTTTGTCGGGGTGGGGGGTTAAGAGGGTTTATCTCGCCCCACCTTTGTAATTTTAAACATCCCCCTCAAATTTACTAAGACCTCCCCTCTTTTTAAAATGGATTAATGCCTCCCCTAGTGGGTGATATCATGGAACAAAAACATCCCCCCACCTTTGTATGGGACCTCACCTACAGATAAATGTTTCCAAAAACCCATTTTTGCTCCTAGGTTGCTTTAGCCACCTGTACGAGTGTTCAGTTGACCAATCAGCTCTCCTCTCTCTCCATTTTCTCATTTGTGATTCTGATAATGTACACTTGTACATAATGTAGTCGGGTGAGAGCATAATCCAGCCCACCTCTCCCAAGAGGCACCCCCAATCTGCAAGGGGCTGTGAGGACCAAATCCAATTTCTCCCCGGTGGCAGTGATTCGATGAAGGACCCACCATCCTGAGATTCCCAAATCTATTTCATCTTCACTCCTTCGTTGTAACAATAACCTTCTGTTGCTAAGTTGAGTAAAATCAAACACCTAACTATCCAATTGTGCTCACATCAAAACTAGCAGCCAAGGCTTCCATGAACTCCTTGGTTCCAGACCTTGCAATGGTACCGGGATTGTTTCACCAGATCAGATGTTGTCATGCCAATGCCACTTTCAACGGTCTTGTCATGAACGATATGGATGAAGAGCTTGGGTTGTGCATCCAGCTTGTTCTTGCCTGTTAAAGAGCATTGGAATTTGGAAGCAGTTTGCATCCTTCATTATCTAAAAGGAAGGTACACTATCCAACAAATTCACCCAGCATTGAACCTATAAACCCATCAGGGCATATTTGTCTTTTAAATCATTCCATTGGACATAACAGCTAAAATGTGTCATGGGAGGTATTAGTCCATTTTGAAAAGGTGAGGGAGGTCTTAGTATTTAGCATAAACTTGAGGGGAGGTTTAAGTCTTTTACTTAGTTTTGCTATGTCTCCAAATTTGAAGTATTTAACATTTTGAAGTCCATGCAGCAAAAGAAAATAAAACGTTAAGCATCATTACATCAATCTGAAGTCTAACTTTAACATAAATCTTATCATGTTCCAGTCATACTGGGGTAAGATATGGAAGGACAACCAGCTTAAATAATTTATCAAAAAAAAAACAAAAAAAGGTAACCAGCTTGAACAAATCTTAATTGAAAATAGAAATTATTTAAAATAACCTTGCTAAAATAAAATACAACAAGATGACATGATTACGGAGGAGCATCTGGAGGAATTAGGTGCGCCTGCATTTTCTGTAGAGGAACATATGGTGGATTGTCATATGTGGCCTGTATGTTAGAGTTTTTTCATATAGGAAGCCATTATATCTGCTGGTTCAACAGCTCACTGCTCACCTAGGAACATAACAAAAAGAAATAGATATATTGTTTAAAACTTTATAAATACCAAGAGGGTGCCAAAATAGATTAACCAAAAAAAAAAAAAAAAACTATTGATAGCTTTGACAGCTGTTTGAGAATCAGAAAAAAATGCTACATAATTCCATGTTTTATCTCTAACCTGTTGAACAACCACCAAAATCACCTTTAGCCTATATTTTCTGACTTCTAATCTCACTCCAACCTGCAGCACCCATGAAATATATCGGTATTTGAGTACCCTACCAGATCTGCAACTTCAATATTAGGAGACCAGATGCAAACTGAGTCAATATTTGGGTGACTACTGCATAAAAAATGTAAGCTAGTGTTATAGACCTGATGCAGAAGAGACTTTGAAGTTAACAGCAAATATCACCTGGAGCTTGGCTACTAGTGATCTGTTAGTTTGAGTTAGCACCCATTGAGTTGAGGTTTGACACTGCTGAAACACCATATAATTTCTCACTGCCAAATATAATAGCAAGTTACAGAAATCCAACTTAAAGCTTCCAGTGACAATTTCCTTGTCATCAATTCTATCCATCAAGAAAATAGTAGGTTGTCTCCAGTTCTGATGGTTGCTCACCCTGAACCTGAAACCAGAAGAAGCAAACCATATAAGCATAGGTACATGAACAATTGGGAAAAAAAAGATGAATAGATTGTTTAGCCTCTTTGTTTGGCACAATAAATTAGGGGTGATCATTTGAGCCAGGCCCGCACAAGTCCGACCCGGAAATTCCGGGCTAAGGCATGTGTTTTGTGTTCAGGCCCGGCCTGGGCCCACATCGGGCCCGCAAATTTTATGTCTGGGCCTGGGCCTAATACTTTGAGCCCGGCATGGCCTGCATATATTTAAACATACACATTTTGTGTATAATGTATATATATGTAGTATGTACACATGTTATTTTACATTATATTATATATTTTATATATAAATGTTATAATATGACATGTATAATTTATATCATATAATATTTTATATTATATAATGTATAAAATAATTTTACATAAATGTTATATGTCATTTAGTATAAAATATTATATATATATATATATATATATGTGTGTGTGTGTGTGTGTGTGTGTGTCTGTGTGTGTAATGTTTTATATATGAAAGACATAGGCCCCAAATCAGGCCTGGCCCAGCCAAGGACCATATAGACCTGGGCTAGGGCTTATGTTTCAGGACGGGGCTGACGGGCCAGGCCCAGGCTTAGGCTATAGCCCTTATCATAAGTGCAAAGCCTGGCCCGGCCCATGACCACCCTTAATTCAATAAATCCAACAAATAATCAACCAAAGAACACATAGTGGAATTCGATTGAAGTTTAAAAATCATACTTTAGCTTCATTATTCTCTTCCGCACCATCTTCTTTGTTGTGCTCATGGCCAACTGTTGTTTCTTTATCAGGACCAGAGATAACAATCACTCTTATCATCACACCCAGGAATGCCTTCTCAATTCTAACATTTGCTGATAGAATGGTACCACCTTTGCCCATCACATCACCAGTCTTGGAAGTAGGACATAGCATATGAAAAAACCTATGTTTTGATAAATAAAATTAAATAATAAACAAAAACATGAAAAACCCGGACTAAATAATGAATAAATTAACAGAAAATTCAATTGGTTGACAAGGAATATGTTGGTCTCTTTACAGTGGGTGGGGAGATCAGCAAATCTTTGTCCAATGTGTTAGCTAAGCAAGGGGTAAATCGGGAAGAATTGTTTTCGGCTCAGCTGTGATTCTTGTATTTCTTTCCTAGTTTACTTGTAAGATTCAAGGAGGGGCTGCAGCTCGCGCCTCTCCCTGGTATGTTGTATGAATTCACAACTCTAAATCAGCTTTTGAACTAATAAAATTTACTATTATTCATAAAAAAAATACTATCTTGGTTCAAAGAGGCTATAAAAACATAAAACAATCAAGAAACAGGAGAAATAAGTAACAGTGAAACCTGCAGAAAAAGAACCAGCGAGCTTTTGCAGGGAGAGAAGAAGCCACTTGGGAACTAATCCCAATTCCAAAAAAACAATATTGTGCAAAACATTGAGAAGAATGAAAGGAATTGGGACCTCCAGCAATGAACATGCGGCCAGAAAAGAAGGTGGAGTGTCTAATTGCAAAAAAAAATAAAGAAATAGAATGAACTCAATGAAGAAGCCACAATAGAACCAAACCTGCAAAACATTGACAAGAACAAAAGGAATGAAGACATTCAACAAATGAATATGCACAGGCCTACAAACATAATAAATACAAAGAGAAGAACATCCACAAACCTGCAAACAAGAGAAGAAGCACAACGGAGAAGTGGAAGCCAATAGGAGGGAAAAATCAAAATATGTTCATTGTGAAGGAACAAGATAAATATAAATGTATACATATTATATGCATATGCATATGATGTATATGTACATGCACATAATACCATATACATGTCTATTGATCCATGTATATCCTACAAAAGTAGTAGCTTATCATTTGTATCAACATGATCAGTTAATAAAAGCATGTGAGCATTTGCACATTAATGTGTCACATTTTTTAAATAAAATACCATTAGCAAGCCCTGGATTCAAATTTGTTAGCTCAAATTATAAATATAAAAAGAAAGAGATAGAGGTGGTTTGAATTTTATGTTACTCAGATGCAGCAAGGACATTGCTAGACACAGTGTTGGATATGATATGCAACATGGTACAGAACCATTGTACAGGTATCAGGGTATCATAGATCATGATGACACACCTATAAGAAAAAAAAAGGAAAATAGAAGAAGAATATCATCATTAATGGAATGATCTGACCTCAATAATCTGATGAACTAAATTGGAGAGGAATTGAAGGAATGGACATCCTTCCATAATGGTGATTGAGATTGGAGTGGGATGGCTTAACTATTAGTTTTTTTTATTTCTGTTAGACCATTAATGATGAAATGCAACATTTCAGAAAGATGAGGTTGATTGGGAGCCTGGAAATTTTGATGGGCTCAGGTGTTAAACTAGGATATGTTCTCCTAGGTGGAATTCATGAATTGGTGGGTTCTTTCATCTGCATATGTTACACAAGCACTTAATAATTTTAAGTTCATCTTTGGGCATTTTGGAGTTTTTGTCTTTTATCCTTATGCATATAATGATATAACACTTATCCTTGCTAGCAGCTTTCATCTTAACTTGGTATTCCTTTGTTATTTTCATTTTTCTTACAATGTTTTATTTTCTTTCAATAATTCACAGGCGGCTGAAGAAGCTGTGAATGTTTTCTACCATTATACATACGAAGGCAATGTGGACATTGACTCTATCACAGACCCTAGTATGAAGGCCTCCATACTTGCACAGATTAATCACTTTGGGCAGACACCAAAGCAGTTATTCCTGAAACCCCATGTCAAGCGGCGGTGTGACAAGAAGCTTCCTCCTCATCCACTTCGAAACTGTAACTATCTTATTCCATATGAAATCCGTAAGAGTTCATCTTCAATAACTCAGATCATCATGTTTCATGATAAGATCCTTGTAGCTGGGGCAAATAAGTTGCTTAAACCCCGGACTTTCACCAAATATGTTGCCTGGGGTTTCCCAGATCGTAGCTTGAGATTCATTAGTTATGATCAAGACAAACTCCTCTCTACACATGAAAGTCTTCATGGGGGCAACCAGATTCAGTGTATTGGAGTTAGCCATGATGGCAAAATTTTGGTCACTGGTGCTGATGATGGGTTGGTTTGTGTCTGGAGAATCAGTATCGGTGGGCCCCGTAGTCTGCAACACTTGCATTTGGAGCGGGCTCTTTGTGCTCACACAGCAAAAATCACATGTCTCTATGTCAGCCAACCTTACATGTTGATAGTGAGTGGTTCAGATGATTGCACCATTATTTTATGGGACCTTAGCTCCTTGGTTTTCATAAAGCAGCTACCTGAGTTTCCTGCACCAATTTCAGCTATTTATGTAAATGATCTTACAGGAGAGATTATGACAGCAGCAGGAGTTTTGTTTTCAGTCTGGAGCATTAACGGTGACTGCCTTGCGGTGGTCAACGCCTCCCAACTTCCGTCTGATTTCATTCTCTCAGTAACTAGTGCAGTATTCTCTGATTGGATGGATACAAATTGGTATGTTACTGGCCATCAAAGTGGTGCTATCAAGGTATGGCACATGGTGCATTCCTCTGATGAGGCTAGCAGCCTGAACAAGATGGCCACTAATTGGATGGGAAGAGTGGGGCTGAGTGGTAAGGTGCCAGAGTACAGGTTGGTCCTTTACAAGGTACTCAAATCCCATAAGTATCCAGTTACTGCTCTTCGTCTTACAAGTGATCTCAAGCAGTTGTTGAGTGGGGATTCTGGTGGGCATCTATTGTCTTGGACTCTTCAAGATGAGAACCTCAGAGCTTCATTTAATCAGGGGTGATATTGATATTGATGAAACACAGTTGATTATTCTGGCTTGTCTTATTCAGGCAATATTTGATACTCTATCCATAAACCCTGACCTGGAAATTAGTCATTGTCGAGTAAGGAATTGTATACATCCAAGATTCCAAGGAAAGAGCAAGACACCAGGGCTGGCCTCAAGAACTGAGGGAGCGGGTTGTGAAGAATGAAAAAGCTTCAATAAGGTGCACACTTGAAGAAAATAGACAAGTTTACAGATGCAGGTGGTGAAAGCAATGATTCATTTGGATTTTGAATGAGATAAGATGGGGGCACTTTGGTGCATGTGTTAATTGGCGACAATCGTGGTTTTTATCTGCTGACACATTGGTCTATAGGTATTGATGATTTGATGTAAATATGTGGCGACTAACATGTCTAGTAAAGTTGTATAGTGGAAGAGTGCTTCTCGGGAGGGCTGATCTGGCACAATTATCTGGCGGGTACATGTAAGATGATGGCTGGTCGAGTGGTTTCATCTAAATTCGTTTTGTATGGTGCGATTGGTACCTGTAATACATTTTTTTGCTGTGTAATGAGCAATGGCTTCATCTCTCACACAGACTCTGCACAAATGGAACTTGGTCCAGGCCACTGTCCTGCCTTTCTAGTCGTGCTTCATCTGTCACTGTCAGACTTAAAAAACTGGTCCGTCCGCCAAATAGTGGGATGAGCTTTCCTTTTTTTAAGGAAAAACTAGCGAGGGTGGCCCCTGCGATGTAAAGGGAAAGGCAAGATTAATATGATTTTTCTTTTAAATAACATCATTTTCTAATCTCTCTCTCTCTCTCGACTGTTCTTCAAATTTTATTTTCGAAACATGCACTTGACTTATCTTCATGACAGAACAACAAATGAAAAAAAAAGTATATTCTTAGTTGTAAAATATGAAGTCCACACTATAAAATCTTAGGCCCTGCTCGCTTTTTGGTGAATTACTGAGGTAAATGCACATACCTAGGAGAAAACAGTTACCTGGATGTGCATTTACCCATGTTCTTTTATTTTTTCATATAAACAAAGCAATGACCATTTTAACCATAAAAATTTATTATTAAAAGGAGCATTTTTTCTATTTAAGGCCTCGTTCGTTTCGCAGATTTTGAAAGCGGGGAAAGTCGGTTAATGGGATTTTGATTTCTATTGACCAGCTCTCCCATATTCTTTTTCAAGATTTAGGTGGGACTCACAGTAAATGCCTTTCCCTTCGGTATCACTCACTTGGGAAAGTGTTACCTTTCTCCCACTTGGTCCCAAGTGGAGAGTAAATGTTCAAAATATAATATGTCAAAAATGCTCATTAAAAAAATATAATTCAAAAAGCATGGACTTTGACCCAAGGGTAAAAATGATAAAACATAGAAAAATTAACCTCTTACCTGGGAAAGTGGGTAAGGCAAAAGAACATGGGGAAGTTGAAAAATCTCATTTACCCAGGTAAATTTAACAAAAAAAAAACATGGGTAAATACATTTATTCGAGTAAATGTTTTCTAGGAAACACTTGCCTAGGTAAGTGCACTTATATGGGTAAATGGCCTCTTTCTAGACGAACAAGGCCTAAGTGTTGGCAACTTTCTCCCCAGGTGAGAAAATTATCTACCCACCTAGGAGATGAGTATCATTTACAAGTGATACCCAGGAAAACTTTTCCTTATCCTCAAATAAATCTAAAAAAAGAACGTGGGCTTCTTGATCAATGGGAATCAAAACCCCATTGACCAACTTTTCCCTCTCTCAAAATCTAAAAAAGAACACCACCTTGGCTGTAAAATTTGAAGTTCAGGTTATATAAAAATTCTAATGAAAACTAAAAATTCAATTGATGCCCAAAATGATATCTATATAATCTAATGTTATTTGAGAGCAAAAGTAAAACCATTTTTGAAAAACATATTACCTAATTATTTTGTGGATATATGGAGCCATCGTGGAAGTATCCTACAAATAAATCAACTAAAAATAGGTTATCCAAAATAAAAAATAACAAAATAAAAATGTCAATATCCCTATTATAGCCTTTTATAGGGATAAGCAACATTTTCCTTAAAAAAACTACTAAATCCCATTAAACCCCTACTTCCCCCCTCCCAACCCCCTTCCCCTCTCCCTTTTCCCCTCCCTCCAACAATGTAGACTTGGTAAAAAAAGTCTTACAGTGCACATCATACTTTATTTAATTTCACATAATGTAATTTTTCAAAATCTTTATTAATTATTTTAATGTAGACTTATTCATGGATCAGGTAGCCCAGCGGGTTGGCCCTGGTCAGACCCACTCTTGAGCTAGGTTGAATAAAATTTCAAGCCCCCAAACTAGGGCTTTCTCAAATAAGCCCAGCTTGAGCCCAACTTGATAATATTACATATGTAATATATTAATTATTAAATTATTACTAAATACTAATTTACTAAAAGTATATATTATAACTAAATTAATATAATATTAACTTATTAATTGCACCATAGGTAAGATTATTTATGCTTAGATCAAGTTTTGGACCTTATATAAAGGTTGGGCATGGGCTCAAGCTTAGACACTTTATGTTAATATAGAGGCAAAACCTGGCTTGTAAAGTGTTCGGATGAGCCAGAGACAAGTTTGTATGCACTGGGCTGGGCTACCTATCACGAGTGAACACACAAGTGTTCAGTACAAATGGGCCCATATGGGATCCACAGTGAACACTGACATGTTCAATCATGATAGGTAGCCCAGCCTGGGGCATGCAATCTTGTCTCCATCTAATCCGGGCTCGCTTGTGAACTGGGCTACTACTTTAAAGTTTTTAGTTATAATTGTAAAATTATTATTTAAATTTCTTGAGTAATTAATGTAATTTAAGTATGTAGTTAAATTAATAATTTAATTAATCTACTATGTTACTTTAATCAATTAGGTTAAATTAAATAAATTAACCAAAATAAAAGTATATTAAATTAATTTGGTTAATTTACCTAATTGAATTATTTAGAAAATTTTCAAAGTTATGCTTGGGCGAAATATATAGTGCACTCTATTAAAATAGCCACAACATGGATTTTGCTTTATAATAATTATTACAATTGCAATCAGCAGCTAGCTCTCTCTCTCTCTCTCTAGCCATCAATTGAAATTATGAATTTTTATTTTATTTCATTCAAATATATGCAAAAAAAACGTATTTATTGTTTGAAAAAGAGGCACATGGCATGAGATTGGTGGATTACATGCATGCATTCATACCATTAAAATACATTCCAACACCCTACCAACAATGTTTCCAAGATTGGCAAAGATTGAGACCCACTGTACGGTTGGACAAAAACCTTACTTTGGCTCAAAAATTCATGTTAACAAAACAGCCTGAACCACGATTACATAATAAAGGAAGACAATGAAGAAACGGTATTTCAAGAGTGTGAAATTGTAAATCAACAATCATACCAAACAAAGCAAAAGAAGCAGTCGAACCCCCTTTTCTGCATTGGAAAGAAGAATAAGTAGGGGGAGGAAAAGAAAGATAAGGAAGAAAAGTGAGAGACAAAGAGACAGGAGAACAAAAAGAGTGGGGAGGTTAGTCCAAAGAAGAGAAACAGTGGAGGCATGAGATAGATGAAGAATAGAGGCTAGGATTTTGCCTAGAAGTTGAGAAGAATGAGAGAAACAGAGAATGGTCAAGAGAGAGGTTAGGTCTAGAGGTTTGAGTTTATACTTCGCAGGAAACGTAACCAAAAAAGATTCCGATTTCTGAAAGCTATACTATCGACATTGAGATGAACAGCTCCCTTGGAGACGGAAAGAGTAACCACTCAACCACTATTGGGAAGGAACCTATCAAGTTTCTTGATAAGACAATGGTTCACAGTTCACACGTGCCACACGAGTGAAAAACACCCGTTAGCCAGCACACCCTTTTATATGGTGAGATTTCATTTGCTGAATGTAGAAGGTGGTCCCGAATTTTATTTCTTAACCCTGGCAGTGCAAATGATTTGAGTGTAATTTCTGACCTATTTTTGTTTTAAAATTTAGCTTATTTTATTTGATTTCAGTGCAAATGAAGTAAATTAAGACATGGAGCAGAATAAAGTAAAATCCAAGACAAAATTCAATAAGAATTTGCATTTTTTTTACATTTATACTCCCATGCATTTGTACTAGTGCGAATAAATTTGCACTGCAACCAAACACAGCCTAAGGCTCCGTTTGGAAGGAGTACAAATACAAATATGTAGAGTACAATACTTTGTATTTTGTATGAATTTGCACTGTACATAGTTGTATTTGTACTCCTTCCAAACTGAGCCTAAGGTTGTGTTCGGTTGCAATGCAAATAAATTTGCACTGATACAAAATCATGGCAGTGCAAATGATTTGAGTGTAAATTCTGACCTATTTTTGTTTCAAATTTTAGCTTATTTTGTTTGATTGCAGTACCAATGAAGTAAATTAAGACATGAAGCATAATAAAATAAAATCTAAAACAAAATTAAACAAGAATTTGCATTTTTTACATTTGCACTCACATGCATTTGTACTAGGTAATTAAACAAGAATTTACTTGGACATTCTTTAAACTCTTATCTATGCTTTCTTACATTTAGGCTATGTTAGGTTTGATAGAAAATAAGAGAAATAAAAAGTTGAGGTAAAGTTCTTAACAAAATTTGTAATTCCTTGAAAATTTCCCCTCACTCTTTATTTTCTATCACCACTAGTTATATGAGTATATCATATGATTATAGGCACCTCTACTCTGTTCAAGAGATTACTAGTTCTCTGGAAAAAAAAATTAATAGTTTGTCACCCAAGCAAAATATTTTAGGGATGGTCAAAATTTAGATCTTTGTGCAGCCATCAAGGTTATGTTTGATTTGTAGTAAGATTTTGGTGGGATGATCTTTGTTCCATTGTTTAGTCATAAAAGGAAATGAAAAATTAGCCCAAACAACAAAGAAATAGTGTTTTCAGCACATGGTTTAACCAGTTGGGTTATGGTTGAGTTGGCCCTGGGTGCCACGTGGCACCTCCCTGGCCATCTTATCTTTTCGGCCACACCAGCACCACATAGGATGGATGAGTGTGACCAAGAAGAGGATTCTCGTACGGATAAGGAGGACAACTCTATCGGGGATTAGGACTTATCCCGAAGACTTCGACGAACAACCTCATCCCGACAACCCCGGAATCCTCATCCGAATTGAACACGGATCTTCGGCTACAAATAGGTAACCTCCACTCAAGGTAAAGGACTTTAGACTCTTCAGACTCCATATTGTTATTTTGCTTCTGCTCGGACAGGAATTCTTCTCAACTACTCCGCCCGACCACCCATCTCTTCTATTACTGACTTGAGCGTCAGAGTGTCTACCCAGGGAACAACTCCTCAGGCCTCTGATCTCTTTCTTGGTTTCAAATCATGATCTTGGTGCACGGCTTCGTCTTTCCACCTTGGTTTCACCAGTTGGCAAGACTATCTAACCATGACCTTGATTCGGAACACCTCGGATCGAACAGCATCAGATTGGCGCCATATATGGGAAATGTACGAAAAGTCATTCCCAAAACTCTTTTTGTGCAATCAAGAACCATGCCAAGAAACACATCCGATCGCTCCGTAGCCCAATCCCCATCTCGGAGATCTCATTCTTGAAGGGATGAGAGATCCATCATATGGATAGCCGGACCCTATAGGAGGGTTGGGCGAAATTTCAAAAATTTCTTTACTCCCATCCAGGAATCCTATTCCCAATTTAAAAAACTACATTTTAAAGGTTC